CTCCTTAGTTTCCTTGTAGTACTGATCAGCATTGTTTGTTGCCAATTTTACTCTGCTTTATTCTATGACATTTCTGGAACTATTTTTATTGGAGTTTCCTTGTAAACTTAATCAGTGTTTCATGAAAGTTTCTTATCTGGAAGTCAATTGCAATATATTAAACATGCCATCAGTAGCTTAGAACTAGAACTATCAGCACACATTTTACAGAATATAATCCAGTGTATTATGCTTAGTTAAGATAACCAATTATGAAATGTAGCAGAGAGGGTACAAACATAGAAAATGTGTGTTTCTGAGAAAATAGAAACAATGAGAGGTGTTTAATAGCACATAAGCAACACTGACAAATACAAGGAAACCGGTCAATATTAGTTTATTTTTAAGTTCAAGAGCCCTTTACAAATATGGACACTCTGCCTGCTTCTTAAAGTCAAGGCCTAAGATTTTCTCTTGAATGCTGGCACCTGAAATCATGTTTTTACAACTTGTATAATCCCGTTCTTCACAAGAAGGGAGAACTCCTGAACTTCATTTTCTTCTCAAGATATAATACAATTTTCTATACAATTAACAGGTGTGCCATTTCCTTGTAATTTCTTTGGATAAAAGCATTTTCTTATTTTTACTTTATATTTCCCAACATAAACGTGTGTTGTGTGTGTGTTATATCTTTGCTAGGTACAATGCCTATCTCAAAAAATTCCATACAGATTTAATAAGTAAATACATTTATTATGTGTCTGATACTTTTTTTTTGGTTTTATGAGACAGGGTTTCTCTGTATTGTTTCAGAGGCTATCGGTCCAGCCTGGCCTCGAACGTGCAAAGATCCGCCTGCCTCTGCCTCCCGAGTGCTGGGATTAAAGGCGTGCGCCACCACCGCCCGGCTATGTGTCTGATACTTAAAACTTATTGTGTGTCTGATACTTATTTCCTTATTACTGCTAATAATTATTGTTTCAAATAAAACACATGAATTTGTTTCCTAGCACAATTTTCATAAACTGTGTAAATCTGAGTCATAAGAAATAGGCAGACCTTGGGGAAACCTGAAGAAAAGGGATGGGAGCCAGAGGAATGAGGACACCACCAGAACATGGCCCACAGAATCAGCTAAACAGGGTGCATAAGGGCTCATAGAGACCGAAATGACAATTAGAGAGGCTGTACGTGTCTAAGTGAGATCCTCTGCATATATATTACATTTGTGTAGCTTGGTGTTCTTTTAGAACTCCTAACATAAGGAGTTTTCTCACTCTCTTGCTTGCTCAGGACTTTTCCTCCTGCTGGGTTGCCTCATACACCTTTGGAATGAGGATATGTGCATAGTCTTTTTGTAACCTTTTAACCATGTTTGGTTGATATCCCTGGGAGACATGCTCTTTTCTGAAGAGAAACAAAGGAAGAACAGATGTAGAATAGAGAGGAGGTAGAGGGACGGGATGGACTTCAAGGTGTGACTGGAGGGGAAATTGTGGTCTGGGTGTAATATATGAGATAAGAAATTTTTAAAAAAGAAAATACTTTGATTGATAGTTTCTTCTCTGTAATCATATAGATAAACCAAGGAGGAACAGGTGAGAGTAAATATCAACTAACTAAATTTTCAAATAAAATATTTCAGTAAGAGGAGGTGAAAAAGTTACCGGGGAGCAGGAAGTTTGAGTTGAGATAAGAATAGAGGAGAGCAGGATGAGAGATACCATAATAGGCTTGAGGAGACAGCTGACACTAGTGAGGTCTCCAGAGATCTACAAGGATAACATCAACTGGCATACTAAGCCATAGTGGAGAGACTACATTAAATGCCCCTCCTTGATGGTAAGGTTGATGACTACCTTATATGCCATCCTAGAACCTTCATCCAGGGACTGATGGAAGCAGAGAGAGATACCCACAGCTAAACACTGAACTGAACTCCTGGAACCTAGAGACAGAGATGGAGAAGTGATGAGCAAAGGTGTCAAGACCATGATGGTGAAACCCAAAATTACAGCTGGCCAGATAAGGGGGAGCTCTTGTATCCCAGACTGATGCTTGAGAGGTCAACAGGGGACTGATCCAGACTCCATGAATATAGTCTCAGTGAGGAGGCCACAGAAACCACTGGGGCGTTGGGTAGTAGATCAGTGTTTACCATGGTTTATGAATGATCTTTGGGAACCCACTCCAAATAGAGGGATGCTCTCTCAGCCTGGACACATGGGGAAGGGCCTAGGTCCTGCCCTGGATGAAATGACAGATTTTAGCGATTCCCACAAGGAGGGCCTCACCCTCCCTGGGGAATGATGTGGGGATTGTGTAGGGGGCTGGGGGTTGGAGGGCTGGTGAAGGGACAAGGGAGGATGGGTGGGAGAGGGAGCTGGGATTGACATGTGAGGCATGCATGTTTCTAATTTAAATAAAAACATTCCAAAAAAACTTTAAACTTTAGGTAAAATATTAATTTTATTTTTTAGGTGTAGTATATTGAAAACATAAGCTGTTTTTGTTGAGAAGTTTAGGTTAACTCATACTAAATAGTATGGAGTTTCCAGTGCCCTACACATAAGTATTTTATAAGCTGATCTTCATTATATTAAAATTCAGGAAAGATGTTCATTCCTCAAATCTCACCTATTAACATAGCAGGCAGCTGTCAACTTTTGAAAAGGTAATCAGAATAACTGAGAAGGCATTTTTTATGGATGACGTAGCTCCAGTGTAAAACCCCACTCTAATAACCTCCACATATTCCACAGATTGATGACCAATCTCATTTTCATTCAGCACTTTTCACTCACTTGTACTGAAAAGGATTGAAGTAATTCTGAAACTATCTTTCAAACAAACACAATGTACCTCTCCTAATTCTGGGAACTGTGGTAAATGCAAATGCAATGTGCTTCCTGAGAAGAACATAAGCCCTTTAACTCCAATGTCTTTCACAGCTTTGCCTTCAGAATGCATTGCCAATTACAAACCAGCAAAACGTGAAATCTTTTTCGCAGTGAAACTGTACAAAATCTGACAGTTATTAAATTTAGATGATGTTAAGTACAACGAAGCTGCACAAAAAGAAAATAAGATTTATTTCCCTATAAATCCCCTGGTCCATTTGTTGGGTGTAGATAACATACGATTGTAGTTTTTGGCCTTCCCTCTGCCTACATGACTATTTCCTTTTATGGATCAAGAACTTGGGATACTGAAGACTCAAATGCTTCCATGCCACATGGATCACAATGAATGAATTTTCCTTGTCCAATATTTAGATTTTTCATTGAACAGAGGAGAATTATTAGTAGAATAATAACTTCAGTGTTCTATTTTTTTTATTTACTTGTAGGTGAGTGATCTCTCCTGGTAACATTTGTTCTGTAGAACAAATAGGCTCAGTGTCAGATTTAAAACATGTGCTTAAACGAATATCTCATATTTTACCTCAAGAGATCAGGGATTTCTGATTCATTTTCTGTGGTCATAAAACACTCTTCCAATTGAATTGCCCATGTTTCTTTTATAAATAATATTCTCTATCTTATTTTGTTAATAACTACTATTTTGATTCTCTTGAAATTATAATATAATTACATCATTTTCACCACTTTGATCCCTTTACACCATTCTATATAACCAATACAGTCCATGGCCCTCTGTTCTCTTTTTAACTTAATGGTCCTTCTCTCTCCTTTTTTTCATTAGCTGTGGTTATAACACACACACACACACACACACACACACACACACACTCCCACATACAAGAATACAACCTACCCAGCCAGTAGGCATAATGTTACTTGAATGCACATAGTTTCAAGGCTATTTAGTATTGGATAACCAATTGAAGAACAACACCAATAAATATGCTAACATAAATAGGGGAAAACTGCAGAAACTTCATCCCTACACAGAAAACTACAAACAACTAAGACATGCATCTTCCTTTGGTGATTGTATTTGAGTTAATTTTGGGGGAGTTTCAACCATACAGCTTTCACTTTCCATAAGTTGTCATTCAAACACTATTCAAATTGATTATCAATCTTTTTTGATATCCTAAACTGAAGGATGATTTGAATGGTACAGTCTAATTTCAGGATTTGGCCCTACCTATCCTACAATGCTTTTTCTTTGAGTAAAGTCATGAACTGAAATTATTCCAGCTCACAATCTCCTCCCATTTTGATTAGTTAAAAATGAATTCCCCCATCATTATTTTTCCTATTCAGTGATCTATTCAATTCCCCAATTTTAATAATAGTTTTCCTTACAGAGATTTTGTGCTACTTAATTAATGTTTGTACATGCTTCGAAATATTTGGATTGCAGATGAAATTCTGGTGCCAACTGAATTATTAGAACATTAAAATTAATTCTAAGACAAAGCCCATTGTTAAAGATAATGGCTTGAAAAGTGTCTCTTTTGGATGCATTGATTTGGCAGCTTTTTATGTACAGTGTAGACAGCTGTCTACAGAAAATTGAAACATAGGAGAAAAATATTTTATTGAAATACCTTAGACATTATTTGAATTATTTACATTATATATAAATTCTGAGTTTTTGCTCAGTTGTTAATTAGATTAAGTACTTTACCAGGAGACAAATGAAAAAAATCCTAAGGTTTCAAAAGTTTTACCTAAATATCATTTTAAAGAAGAAGCAGAGATGTTCAGGGCTATTTGATCACATTCTGACACTCCTATCGTATGTTAATAAAGTTATCTCTGAATCAGAGGGTGGAGACAGTGCCTAGATAATCAGAATTAGCCATAGAGAAGGCGGGAATATGGATAAGGAAGGCAGGAAGGAGAAGGGGGACTTGGAACTCCCTCTGCCTTTTCAGCCTGTGACATGTGGAGAGAAGAGGTGCTGGCTGGGTCTCTGGTAAGAAAGGGAAGGACGGCTGGTTGCTCCTTCTCTGCTCCTTTGATCTCTAAGGCTTTCACCCCAATATCTGACTCTTGAGCTTTTACTGATATGATTTAGCAAACTGAAACATTTTGGTGCCCCGTGTGCTGTCTTTGTCAGCACATGTACTAAAATTGGAATGGCACAGAGAAGACTAGAATGGCTTCTGCACATGGATGACATGAAAATTTGTGAAGTATTCCTATTTTTATTTCAAGGCCAGCTGGGCAGTGGTCACAAACGAATTTAATCTCAACACTCAAGAGGCAGAGGCATGTGAATCTCTGTGAGTTTGAGGCCAGCCCTGTTACACAAAGAAAACCTGCCTCAAAAAAACCAAGATTACAAAGAAGGTTGTATTCTGCTAAATTGTTCTATTAAAAATAAAAACTTGAGAGTCAGATATGGGGGTGAAACATATAGATCAAGCAAGCAGAGGAGGGGCAGCAGGCTGAACTTCCCTTTCTTACCAGAGACTCAACCAGCACCTCGTGTCTCCATAAGTCCAGATTGAAGAAGGCATGTTTATTCTAGTCCCTCCCTTCTCGTTCCTATCTGTCTTCCCTTTCCACAATCCGGATTTCTCTATGACTAAATATAACCACCTAGTTGCAGTGTCCGCTCACTGATTCAAAGGTAACTTCATTAGCGCACTCCAGGAGTATTACAAATATCCTTCAAGACAAAGGGAAGTGAAGAAAAGTAAGCTTGGGAGAAAGATGGAACCTTGGTGTGAAAGCCATCATTGTTTAAGTTCTGTGACAGAAAGATGTATTATTGACTGCTATATTCTCAGTATTTAAAACAATACTGTGTACATATTCGAGACAAGCTATTTCATGGACCAATGAAAATACACCCCTAAAAATCAATCAAGTAGTGGTAATGTTAATGTGATAAATATTATTACTATTGATAGAAATTTGCTCTGATTCCATAATTCCCATCATATAGCCATATAATATTAAGGTGATTTATGCATGTTGAAATAAAACTAACCCCATTCCTTTCACCTTAAATGCATTTTAAATCTTTAATTCAAAAAGAATTACATCAATTCTCAAGTGCATATATATTTATTCTGTTTTCAATTCAAAGTATGTCTCACTAAATGTTCTTCAAAACAGTATTAGAGTGCTGAAACATACTTTATATTAATTTTATTTACAAATTGACAATTAATTTGAGTTCTAAGTTTGAATACAATGAGTAACAAATGGGAGATATATTTTGTTATGGAAAGTTATAGACATAGATTTGTATCATTTTCACATATATCACACATGGTGAGGAATTATTATTTGAAGAGTATTAATATTATCAATAACTGTGGTGATACTTTGTTTATGATCTAATAAAGCCACTGGAGATCAGAACGCAAAACTAGTCACATTAGTTAGCCATAGAAGCATACAATGCTGGCATACACCTTTAATCCCAAGACTCAGAAAACACAGGCAAATGGATCTCTGTGAGTTCAAGGCCACCTACGGCTGTATAACAGTGAATCAGTCTAAATGAGAAACAGAGCTCAACCCTTTATTCCCAGCACTAGAGAAGAATATAAGAAGGCCAGCACTAGAGAGAAATATAAGCAGGAGGCCAGAGTCTCATGTGGCATTTAGTATTCAGTATCAGGACAGTTAGTCTCCAATTGTGTTGAGAACATGGTCTCCCCAGCCTTGGTCATGCAAAGAGCTCTCTGGTAGCTTGGCTGATTTGTATCTCTGATCTTCAACTTGAACGTCAAATCTGTCTCTGGGTTTTTATTATTCATGTTACCAATAATAATTCATGACTTCCTATAAATATAATCCTCAAGATTTTGAGGGCTGTATCTTCAGTTATTTTAACTTATGTTAATTGTTCACTTGTATTTTATCTTGTATAACAACTGCAGCCATTTTCCTTGCTGACATTTTAGCAATTTGCTCATTGATTTTTATCTATTTTTAATTACTTGCCTGCTGTGTTGGAGAAATACAAAAATGACAACATGTGTAGAATAGAGGGAAATAGAGATAACTTTAAGAAGTGACACATATCATGGGACACTGGCAGAATCACAGAAGATTCTAATGATGCCCTCAGAGAACAAGAGAGCACAATGAGGAGTTGTGTAGGATTTTGAAGAGAGGAGTCACCAAATCAAAATTTGATCCTAAAAGGATGACTCTGTACTCTCACTGCAATCATAAGGATGGATGTTCATATCACAGAAAGCAGAAGAGAAACAACGTAATATGAACTAGGTGGACAGGAAGATAGTAAGGCATCTTGGTACTCTGGATATGCTTTTCAGGTGTCAAGAAAAACACAATTGACCAGATGTAATTACATGTGACTGAGTGACTGAATGTGTGAGAGAGAGAGAGCGTACGTGTGTGTGAGAAAGTGTGTGTGTGTAAGTGACTGTGTTCCAGTGTGTATGTGAGTGTGAGAGAGTCTATGTGAGTGTGTGTTTCAGGAAATCTATTTGGTTGTAGAGGTGAATTTCAGAATTGCTGGCAGAGAGATTAGGAATAAAAAAATCTTAAAAGGAAAATAAGAAGGCAAAAACGTACTCTGTGCACGTTGTGGCCCACCTGAAAAGGAAGCGATAAGGAAACTGCTGGAAGGGAAAAAAAAAACGTGAGGCATGAAAGGAATCAGGAAAAGCTGGAGAATGTGGAGAAAAGAAGCACAGCACAGTCAAAGGTGAGGAATGCTGCTGTTAGGTCAAGTAGGAGCTGATTTCACATCAGGGAGGTATAAGCACAGGGTCTGCGGAACCATGGCACAATTGGCTTGTGTTTAAACGAGACTGGCAGAGCAGAGGAGGATAGGCGAGCCATTTCAGGACTGTTGCCACAACATGGGAGCAAAACAATGCCAAAATAGAAGCCACAAAACAGTGTTCCAGACAAAGTCTGTGTTTTGCTCAATATCAGACTGGGAGAAACACAGCATATTTCTAAACAAGTAAAAACAGAACTCAAATTAACTGTTAATTTGTAAATAAAATTTATATAAAGTATACTTCAGCACTCTAATACTGTTTTGATGAACATTTAGTGAGAGATGCATTGAATTGAAAATACAGAATGAATGTATGTATGTGTGTGTGTGTGTGTGTGTGTGTGTGTGTGTGTGTGTTTGAGAAGTGATGCAATTCTTCTTTAATTAAGGATGTTAAAAATGCATTTAAGGTGAAAGGAATGGGGTTAGTTTTATTTCAACATGCATTTAAGGTGAAAGGAGTGGGGTTAGTTTTATTTCAACATGCATCAATCACCTAAAAAATAGAGAAAATATGGGAGTACATAAGAAAATGCTGGCACGACGTCCTCGAGGAGAACAAAAGGGATGAAATTTAATGCATGGACAGAGATAGGTTTAACATAAGAACCAAAAAAAATACACCTCAAAATTATAAATACCTACAGGTGTGATAACATAAAGGGTTTGAGCATGAGAGATCTCGAGTTAGAAAAAAGATGATCTCAGATAGAGTCAAGTTGAGCTTAATGTTTCTTCTAGATGTACACAATTATTGCAGGCCTCATTCTTATATATTTACCCAGAGTTGCAGACTACAGAACTGTGATGTTTTCTGGCAGTTTCTGCTGGTGTTGAGGGATGAGGTTAATTCACTATATTGACTCTTGTTTTATTCCAGAAACCTTGGGAACTCCCCTTAATAATAACTCCTCATATGCTTTTTGATTCCAGTATCTACTTAATTTTGTCTTCATGAATGCCAAAGTTTCATTTTGATGAAAATGCATAAACCACTGTTATATTATCTTAAATATTATATTTAAACAATTATCTTGTCTGCAAGTTATGACAGTGGGTCTTTCTGAGCTGCAAATTTTCTTTCTTGTGTTTTACTTGCTGTGATAACTAGGACCTCTCACAACGTAATACAAGGTTATGCTGCTCCAAAGGAAAAGAAATTAGACTAGTATTTCACCTTTAAATATTAAGTATTTTTAAGCTTGTGAGAAAACTGTGAGTGGAAAAAAACCTGCATACGATGTTCCTAAGAGATTTACCTATGGTTTGAATCCTTTAAAGAGACTTTTCCCTTTAAAATAGGATTTGAATTTGTTTCTCTTGTAGGATGACACTTTTTCTGATGTATTGTTTCTCTTAGTGTCTTATAGTGTTATCCTTCCAAGATGATGTAGATATTCCTTTACTTTTCTAGTACATTTTACACTTAAATATTTAATGTCTCTAGAATTACTATTGGTGGATATGGACAATTTTCCTGGTTTCTGTTGTGCTTTAAAATATCTGAAACACCTGGTGCTATACTAATACAATTTCTGGGCATAATTCCTTATGACAAAATGAAAATTATCATAGATTCTTATGACAACATTCAACTACTCTACTTTAGACTTTAGGTCCTTGTTGGATATTTAAGCATTTATTATCTATCTTGGTTTTAAATAAAATTTGATAATAATGTGATCAGAGAGTTTCTATAAATATACAACCAAGATTCTCATGCCTGGTTATTCTACCAAATGCCAGCCTAAATATTGATGTGAAGTGATTTTGTACATGGAATTAAAGCTCTTTACCTAGTAATATGAAGATAGAAAAATCATCTCAAATAACCCAGGTGGCTCAGTGTGACCCCTTCTGTCTCCTAGCGCAGCAGGAAAATTCATCAAGAACATTTTTCTGAGGATAAAGCAGGAAAGAATCACCAAAGAAAGTAAGAGATCTCATGTGTAGAAAGGACTTGATCATGGTAGCTGCTTTGGATAATGGAGAAAAAAATTTTGACACACCTATAAACATGGGCAGCCTCTGGAGTCTTCAAAAATTGATTGACTATGTCTGGCAAAGAGAGCACAATAACAGTAAGGAAATGAACCCAACAGATGGCCCAACCCTGTAAATTCTCTTATAGACTCCACAGCAAAGATCTTAGACCTACAAGTACTTGGTCCTAGGCTTATAAAAACTGCTAGCCATATCATATACAGAAACAGAATGAGTAAATCTTTGTTTACTTATTTTTCCTTTTTTTAATTTAAGTTAGAAACAAGTTTGTTTCACATGTCAATCCCAGCTCCCTCTCTCTCCCCACCGGACCCCCAGTCCCCCACCCAATCTCTACTCTGATCCCCAGGTAGAGTAAAGCCCTCCATGGTGGATCTCCAGGGTCTGTCATATCATACAGGGTACGGTTTAGGCCGTCCTTCAAGAGTC